TAACGAAGTTTATTTTGTGACGTCATTTCGATCAAAGGTATTTCTAATTATTATTCTTATTTAATAATAGTTTTTGCTTATTATTTAAGAATACCTGTCAAAATTGATTAACATATTCTGAGATACTACAGGGTTGTTCATTATTAACAAATATCATTTGATTAATTTGTTTGCTGGATTGTCAGTTGTAGTATTTTAAGTTTGACTGTAAAAATTACTTCAAATATTTTAGAATCATACAGGGTTGTTCATTATTAATGAATATTAATTGATTAAATTGTTTACTCTCATTTGATATTTTATTTTTTAATATTTATTTATATTCTTGTTTTACTTTTCCTATATTGCATTTCTTCACATTATATATAGGATTCCCCACTCGGCCATTCACTGTTGGGTTCTAATTAACAGTTCTGTTCTTAAACCTACATATAACACGAGGCTAATAACAGAAGTTGATGCCGATGACACACAAAAAAATAAATGAAAAGTTTGAGAGAAAAACGGAATTATTGAATCCGTAATTAGGCATTCCAACAACTTCTCAAAATGCCTCGAGCAATTACTACTAAAGAAAGTCTTCCCCCTTTCCCTGCGCTAAATTTTGTAATCAACATCTACTCCTCCGATGGGAAAATCCCTCTCCTGTAATTGGCTTATTTAATCAGCGTTGTCAAATTTGACAAGCGCCAGTTCTGACACACGTCAATTTTTGATTTGTATTTTATGAAAAATTTAATTATTTATCTAGTTGTAAGGGTTGTAAATGTATATTTAAGATTTATTATCTCTAATAACATTGACGATAGGTTTTTTATTATATATTATACAAATCCCAACGAACTACACAAAATGAAATTATTAATAATTTAAGCAACAAAAAAGTTGAGTGTAATGATGACATTAAAAGTTGATTTTCTCGAAATTATTTTTTTTTAAATTGTCTTAGTACCTACCTACTATTATTCTAGCACAATGATATTATATGAATGTGCATTGTGTGATATCTTATATTTTAATAACAAAATAATAATTTTTTTGCAGGTTTCTGTTAACAACGATTCCAAGAACTATTAAAAATATTGTTTAAACGACTTTCACAAATATAATTCTCCAAAAGATTACAGCTACGTAAGAAGAAAGTTTAACACTTACCTCTTACCAGATCCAAAATATCAAAATGTTACCAACCAATTGATGGTTTTCCTGGTTTCCATAGTGAAATTCTCCTCGAAACTACTAAAAGAATAGTGGCAGAGGCAACCGAAGAAGACACAAAAGTCTTTAAAAAACAAAAACAAGAAGTTTGAGAATGTAAATATTGTTCGAAGATTTAACATTAATAATTTTAACGTTTTAAGATTCTATATGTATTTTCCTCTTTTATAACCTATATTTAAATTTTTATTAGGACCAAAAATAAATTATAATTTTTATTTTAACTACAAAAACCCTCATAATATTAAAAAGGGGGAAAACGTCAGATTAGTTATGTTCAGGGATCATCAACTCTTTAAACATTTATCTATTTAACTATGTAGTTGTACATGTATTCATTTAATCCGTTTGTTGTATTTTTAAATTGATTTTGATATTAATCTTATCTATTTCTATTTTTTTATATTCACCTATGTTTTTTCATTGAAACAAACGTTTATTAGCTTATTAAATATAACGAATTCACGTTGTTTTATTATATGCTTGTATGAATGATTACTTTTATTTTTTGAAGATGAATTTCGAAGGTAAAGCCGAAATGGTATGTGAGAATAAAAAATTAGGCGAAAGTGACGATATTTATTGGAGCTTTCATTTCTTCTTTTCCTAGCCTATCTACACCTGAGCCAGCAAGATTCGTCTTCCCTCCATCCTTACATTCTCAAGATTTACAGAGAAAACGCAGAGTACTCTTTCACATATCCAAGAGCCACAATAAACCCATCTGGGTCGCAGTAGGAGGCGATGAAATCATCCCACTCATCTTCAACCTAACCTTCACATATATAAACCTTCCCTGACGGGGACTATACCACTACTTTACATTATCAGACTGATTTGTTATCCCTAGCAACTTCAATGCATTCGTAATTGCTCATTCTCTTCTATTGTAGATTCCGTACCCGTGTTTCTAATTTTTAGTTGTTTGCACTGCTCTTTTATTTTTCCTTTTCCACAGCTTTAATTCTGCAATGTATTACGTCCCAAATTCAAGGTTACAATGTTTCTAGCTCATTGCTGTATTGTTTCATATCAAATCACTTATCAACAAAGAAATTGTTTGCGTTAAGTATAATTTATTTTATAAATAATATTTAGGAAGTTTTTGTTTGTGACGTCACCAAAGTAAACCCAATACTGTAACCAAGTATGTTGTGGTAAGAAATGCCGTAAAATATCCACTGAGTGACGTCAGAGTTAACCCAGAACAAATTATTGAATTAATTCAGCTACCCTTTTGTTGATAGTACTCTTTAAATTTGGCTGGCTGATCATTTGTCAAACAAATAAATTCACTTGGTTCAAAAAAGTTTTAAAACTTTTTAATAACACAAAGTAATTATAGTTTCAAAGTTTTCGAAAAATACATTGTTCATTACTTTATAGATGACGTAATATTAATATTTAAAAATTACGTACTACAATTCAATCAAAATAGATAAATAAATCATCGGGTGTGACCGGAAATAAATTAATAGATGTTTGCAAAACAAGTACAGTCGAAAAACACCCCTAATTAGAGTTTTTTTTAATTTTAGGTGTGGTTCAACCATTGCTGCAAGTTTTAACTCCGATTTTCGTAATCAGCGCCCCAAAAAACATATAAGATGGCTTAGTTTGCAAAACAACAAGTACAGTCGAAAAACACTTGCAATTTTAGAGGTGTTCCAACCATTGCTGCCAGTTTTAACCATCATTTTCGTAATCAGCGCCCCAAAATAGTATGGGACAAGTTGTCTCGTCAAGTGCGGCGTTTCTCGACTTTTTACCGTTATTTTAAATGGACTAAATGTAGTACAGAACAAATAGTTGTGTGTGGTGTACCTCAAGGTACGGTATTGGGGGCCTATTTGATTTAAAGTACACTTAAATCATTTATTTATGGTTAAAAGTAAGAGTCAAATCACTAGTTTTGTAGACGATACAGTTTTAATATACAAGGATAAAAACTGGTACAATTTGAAGATAAAAATTGAAAATGATTTTAAATGTATAAAACAGTGGTTTAACTAGACTTTTATCCTTTAACTACAAAAAAACTGTCTATTTACCTTTTACATTTCTAAGGCCAGACCTTCCAACATACACAATAAATGTACAAAAAAATACCAAGATAAAACCGGCCAAAAACATAAAATATTTAGATAGACCCACATCTTAGGTGGGATAGTCATACAAATTATTTGACTCAAAAACTATGGTGCATATTATACAAATTTAAACAAATTTCATACTATCTGCAATATAAAAAAAAACTAATGGTTTACCGAAATTTAGTAGAAACTCTCCTGATATACGGATTAGTCAGTTGGGAAGGAGTTGCTTGCACCTACTAAAACATTCTCGAGATTTGGCAAAAAAAGATTTTTAAAAATTCTTAACAAAACCAGAAGATATTCTATGCCGAAACAAATATATTCAATGTTCGACAATTATAATTTACAAATATAATAAAACAACATATACTCAGATCAAATTTACAAATTCGAACTCACACATATGACAAGAAACAGGAATACTTACTTAAACATAATAACAAAAAAATCTATTGGACAAAAAAGTTTCCTGTTTCTTGGACCTGAATTATATAACGCTGTACCTGAAAAAATTAAATCTGAACCTTCTATAAATAGATTAAAAACGACATTAAAAAAATATATAAAGATTACGACTAGAAATGTCATACATAACCTAGTTGAAAGCAGTTAATAGCAATGTTTCTACTCTATTAAAGTCAAAATGTCATTGAAATTTTTTATTACACAAACTAAATATTTTTCTCATGTTTAAATTATATTTTGTTTCCTTTTATCTATTAATATTGTATATTTTATTAACATCTATATTTTAATTTTGATTTACTTTTAGTATAGTATATTTTATTAGTATTTATAGCATTTGCCTTGCAAACAAGCATTTGATGGTTCACAAGAGTATGTGTTTATTTGCAGTTACCAATAAGACACTGCACTTTATATTTATTGTAATTTCTGTGAATAAATATTTTTGATTTTTATTGATTATACTTACTTTTTTTTAGTTTACTTGTTTTACAAATCTATATACTTTTATTAAAACAAACATACTTTTTAATTACGAATTCTATTAAAAATTGTATACGCAAAAATACTCCATTAGTACATAAATTATTGGCGCTGCTATCATGTACGGAGCGAGTTGACGATATTTTGGTGGCGGTTCCCTCAATAAGTGCACATGTACACTACCTAATTGCAAATCTGCACTCATAAAGTATAAAATAACATTTGTTTCTTAAACCAGCGTGTTTCAATCTCTGTTTATTTTGTATGAAGATACAAAAAACATTCCTTTTCAATCGTTCAAATGAGATACACCTTAGCTAAAGCATAATCATAAGTAGTACCGATGTAAATGGCAGTAAGCCAATACAATCACCTTGTGGGCTACAATTAACTTGAAAATCTGGAACTAATTAAAAGAATATAATTGCAAAATTTAAAAGATTTCATTGAAAACAAATATAAATATATTTTGTTAACAATGAATAATAATTTCAAATTTTATACAAAGTAATAATCTACACAGATATTTAGAATAAATAATGTTTATTTAATATAAATGTTATTTATTGATAATTTAATAGGCTAACGATCAATGTCTTTTTATTTTCAATAAAAATCGTATGAAAATAAAAATGTATTTCTTTTCGAGAGTAATTTAATAACACTAAACTGTTTAAGAATAAATAAGAACAAAAACTGAAACATAACCTTATCCGATTAAAGTCTCAAAAATAATTACTTCAAAGACATAATTTTGAAAGTAGAATGTCTATTATTTCTCATTTCCTTTTTAAAATGTACACACATAATATTAACATTACTAATTAACAATATATTTAAAAAATTAAAACAAGTCTCGTGTTCCAATTTATGTATTAAAAAAATCACTATTCTTGATCACCTTTGAGTCTTTTCAATGTTGGTCCTTCGCCAGATTTATGTCTAACAATCCGTTTCGCTTTTAATATCGACAGCGTATCTTTGCTCGTTTGTCGCGGAAATTCACTTAGGTCCGGTTTTGCATTAACCGCAGATTGCGTCACAAAATCACTAGAAATTCCCTCACTCGAGGGTTTCATCGGCGACCCTTCATCGTCGGTTTTCATCCCGTCGTCACTCGAAGCATTCATGGTACATCTCGAACTATTTAGAGATATGAGTGAGTCGCTCGGATGATCTGGAGTACTAAAAGATTCTTCTTCCTCTTCCTCCATTTCTTCTTCCTCCTCCTCTTCTTCCTCCTCTTCGCCCTCTTCCATTTCACGTTCTACGATTTTTCCTAAAAAAGAAAAGACAAGTTATCTGTTAGAATTCATGAGAGTTATCATCTCGTTAAATAGAATATTGAAGTTGTCAATTTATATTTTTATATAAGTTTGATGCGTTTACACAACAGAATATGGGCCTAGGCTTATTATTTCTGGGGCACGGTAGGTTGTTCCAAAATATAGTATCAAATTTCAACTAAAGATAATTTTGATACCTGAAAAATCCAGATAGAAACTATCTTAATAAAGAACGAGCCTCATTAAATGATGCGGATCAAGCATTAGAGTGGAAAAAATAGACCAGAAAGCTAGACCAGATATCATTTTAGCTATTCAATCCCTCAAACTATGCTGTATTAAATATTGTGTGACATCGAGTGAGATATGGATTAAGCTTCAAGAAGAAGAAGCTTAGGGATCCTGCCAGAAAAGAAACTTTTCTCAAAAACGAAGGTATGGCAGATCACTTTAATTCCTTTACAGACAAACAAAAACAAAATAAGTACCGATGTTGCAGATAGTATTTTTGTTAAATATTGTTGCTGCACAACCTACTAAGTGAACTGTCAAAAGTCTTGTCAATGTCATTCTGTCTAGTAAAGTCAGTTGTCCGTTGTCACTAAAGTATTATCAGTTACAAGTTAGTTGTATTTTTTCTATTTAATATACCTTTCCTAATTTACCTAAAAAAGGGGTTTCATTTTATTCCCACAAAAATGTTAACCATTTTATTGTATAGTATTCCTCATTGTGCTATAGAAACTAGAAATTAACTTTCCAACCAGGCGTTTTTAAAGTAAAATTACTAGATGAATTTAACACACGAAAAGAAAAAGAGTACTGAAAAAAAAGAGACAAAGTGCAAACATAGAACGTTCTTTGCATATATTCAAACCAATACAACACTGAAAGTCTCAATAGTAATAAAAATAATCATTTTAAGAGGAAATTTTCATATAAATGCAACTACTGCCAAAAAGTAGGCCACAAAGGTTTACAGCGCAGAAAAAGGGAAAAAGAAACTCTGTCAAGTAGCTGATAATATTGTCCCATGACAGTCTACATTGGGTTGGCAACAAGACGTGTTTTTCTTCTATCTACTTCACCATTAGTTGTATGTTTTCTTAAAATCCGTCTGCATCCTACCATCTCCCCTCTTTACTCTCTATAGGGTACATTCAACAAACCGGTGTAGACTACCACGAGACAATATCATCAGTTCGCTTGTTTCTTGCCCTATCCGATAACTGGGTTTAATTTTGTCCTCGAAGAGAAGATCAATCTGCAGGTGGATTCAATTTGTTCTGACTTCTGTAAAGCCTTCAGTCGTGTGAACCATTCAGTATTATTACACAAACTTAATTTTTTTTTTATTATTTCATGGCTAAAAACCTATTTAACTGGTAGGATGCAGAGAGTGAAGATTTACAGTAGTATTTCAGAACACATTGTGGTGTCTTCTGGAGTCTCACAGGGCTCTCACTTAAAGCTCTTGTTATTTCTACTATTCATCAATGACATTGGTAGTATTTGGAAATATACCAAGTTTCTATTTTTTGCAGATGACTTAAAACTTTACATGGCGATTCATAATATAATTGATTTTCTTCTTCTTCAAATTGATGTACAAGCTCTCCATAATTTTACAGTGAAAAACTGTATGTCTCTAAACATTTCTACAGGATTACATTTGATAGGGTGCACAACAAAATAATTTTCGATTATTCTATTTGTGTTCTGTTAACTGTTGACCTTGTTGTATTATTTAAATTGATTTCGGGTTTAACTAATTGCTGCAAATGCTTCAACTTATTCAGTTCCGTATTCCTCAAAGGTGTACGAGAAACAAAGATTTATTTATTGTGCCCTTTCAATCAACAAATTCTGGCTCTTTTAGTCCTTTGTCGAAAATGATCAGAATAGATATCGATTTTTCTATCAATCTATATTCTTTTTTCTTTTTAAAAAAGTTAGAAATGGATCTCAATAGATTTTTTCTATTATATAAATTTTTTTTTTCTATAATGGGAGTTTTAGCTTAAGGTTTTATCGTACAAGGAGAAAAAGACAAGGTGTATCTTAAAAAAAGATCACTTTACAGAGTGAAACAGAAAATAAGACCAGTATAAATGTGTCTACATATCTCAAAAAAAGGCGTCATAAATGTATCAATGGTCTCCGATATAAAATTTAAACTTAGTTTGATAAATCAGTGATTTTTTGAATTTCACACACAGTAACTTCAAATGCCACACTGCCCCCGTCAACTGCCATTTATTAGTAGACTACTGTACAATTTTGAACAAGCTATGCCATTTAGTTTGTGTTTGACAACCATTGAAAGCAAACAACTTCGTGAATTTTTACGAAAATAAAAGTTTTACATGTGGATGAAGGGGCTATGTAACAAAAACATAATTTAGAAATATTTGAGTTTAAAGTTTCTTATTTGAATAATTCACCATATAACATAGATTATATATCCCTTTGTAGCATTTTTATTTGAAAGAATATAGTTAGACTGAATTTTGAGTACATAGGCCCTTCATTTATGGAAAAATATCGATTAAAAAAAAATATACACACTCATGTCGTTAATTATAAATTTTATGCCGAAAAAATCTCCTAACAAACTCTAGAGAGAAAGTTTTGAAGAAAAGAAATCAAATAATACAAATTTCACCTCAAAGAAAATTCCTTGTAACTGGATGTTAATTTTGTAATTTATCAATTTTTTTTAGAGCACTTACCATTATAAGTAGGAAACGCGATGTCGGGAAGTAACCTCGTGTCTTTTCCTAATTCTTTCATGAGACTTTTTATTAAATTCGCTATATCTTCTCTCTTTTTGGTAACCACAATTTCTTCGAACCAATTTTGAATCTCTTTTATAGGAATATGAAAATCTTTTATTGGGACCTAGAAAATATGAACATAAAACATGTAAAAACTATCTAAAAATATTTTTCATTTTAATTTATTTTGATTTAATAGACATTCTTTACCTTTATAAATTGTTCTACGTATTGCAGTAAATATAATCCACAATCGGTAAAATTATTCTGTTGAGGAACTTTGGGATTGGCTCCTTTTATCACTTCTTTATTGTAAATCCTTTCTTTGCCCATTTTGGCTTTGTATTCACATGTTAAATAATCTCTGAGGGTCGCTACAACGCGACATCGATTCGCCCCCGACAGAGAGTCAAAAATTAATATGCAAGGTCTGTAAAAAAAAATAAAGGTTATTTAGTTTATTTGGCTACATCAAATTTAGAATATTATTATTTCTAACACTGATTACTGTAGGAAATCAGAGATAATATCACCATATGGAGGATACTGAAACGTGATGGTTCACTGACAAACATAATTCTTTCGAGGGTTACAAAATTTATTGCTCTGAAAATTGCAGAAACTGAAAAATATTCTTACACAAAAATAGATTATTCTAGGGAAGAAATGTGTAAGCTTAAATATGCTATTAATGATAAAAATCTAAAGTCAGAGAGAAAGGATTATGAAAACCAAGAAAAAGTCGAAGAATTACAATTAATAATTAAGGATCTTAATAATACACTTCGGGATAAGGACATCTATATAAAGAGATTACAAAAGAAGACTCGGGACTTCGAAGATGAAGTGTTTGAAACTGAAAGCAGAGATACACAAACTTTAAAGGATTAGAGGGATACAATATTGAATTTAAAAATAAATAATATTTGAAAATAGAATTAAGGAACTGGATGAAATAGTGGAGAAATGGTAGAGTCCATAAAAATGAGACAGGTTAAGACTGGAATTAAAATCAAAGGACTTTTTTACATCAAGAAACTCCAATTTTATTAAAGAAATATCCAACAAAAAATCTTCAGAAGAAGCCGGAAGCATAAATAAGGATCCAATTCAAGTTGCTAGGAATGCAAAATCTATGTCTTGGTGGTGATTTTAATATAAATTGGATAGAGGGTACTATATATAGTAATAGATTAAAAAATATTATTTGTGATATGGGTTTTAAAAATGTGACAAATGAGTTTACGCATATAAATGATAGGGGAGGAAATTTCGACCTCGTTTTTGTTCTGGGTGTAGAACGAGATATTTCACAGTTATAAAGCTGAAGCCTGACAAAATTGATCTAATCCTTTTTAAAGTATACTTTTTGGAAGATATGAGACAACAAAAGGAGAATACCCAAATTAAAGGATTAGGCAATACCATACATATTCCCTTTGTATATATTCAGTACTAAAAAAAAGCAAAAACCACCATATGAATGAACTGATTGTAATAAAACAAAAAAGGAAAATAAATTCTAGAACCTGTTACTAAAGAAATTATTCTTCTGGAAGATGAACTGCATAGAAATGCAATTGTTAAAGTATTACAATAAATATTTCACAGTCTTTTCTAGAATAATTTCCTAGGGAGTTTTTTTTATCCAGGTTAGCTAATTTTAGCAAACTAATTGCACAGAAGTTACCTTTACACACACAAAAAGATTTTGTTAAGAATTAGGACTATTGAGGACTATAGCGCCCTGAGATTCTTAGCAAAACTCGTTTCTTTTATGCCACCCAGGATTAATCTGGTTTGTTCTTTTTGATTTAATGACTTATTTGTCTCCGAAAAGATTATTCCAGATTTATATTTTTATTTAAAATTTTTATGCATCATATCTCTTTCTTTAGAAGTCCTTCGAGTAGCACAAACTTGAACTTTTCGGTTCAACGTTTACTATGTAAATTCACCAGTGTTATTGTAGTTAGTTCCTTATTTCAATATCTGAATCCCAATGTACCATTCCAATGTTCACGACATTTTTGACAATATGAAAGAAACATTTTTTTCGGGACAATTATAGGAAATTAAAGGAAAATTAGGGTCGATCGCTTCTCAGGGAAAATTTTGTTTGAAAAAGGAAATAGAGCAAGATGAAAAGACGCGCTGATTGATATATCATATGAAAGGGTTTTCATAACTGGATGTGGTGAAAAATTTAAAAAACGTTTAATTTTTTCAGAAACTTATACAAAAATAGAAACAAATGCGTTTTCAAGTTTTTCTATCAGATGGTGTGGGAAAATTAGAAATTTTTCTACGGTAAAGTAGTTGCATGACATGTGACATGACTACTTTGAATCAAGATAATTTTTTGCTGTTAATCAGATGAATTGATAGTAACCCTAATTAAAAATTGAAGTGACATATGAAATGTTGTCAAAGAGTAGAATAATTGGAAATTCCAGCAAAAATTTAATTTAGAAATGTGCAGAAATAATAATCTGTGCAACAAGAGTGGATATGATATAAATATTAGTTCAATTTTTAGAACGAGGTCATAGAAAATGGACAACCCATTCAAGTTACACATTATATTTTTTTCGATGCCCTCTAAAGAAGATATACTATAAAAAAAAGTTTTATTTGCCTTTGAACACGGACCTTTTAAACGGGAACTTATTTCCGCAACTTTTACGGTTTCTTTTGGGAGTTTCTATAATACATCAAAAACAGTAGTCGTCATGAAATACAATTATATTGATCAATTTGGCAACTATGTTAACATTCCAATTTAAAGGAACAAGGTCATGACAATATTTTTGGTAATCACTGCAACAGCTATTAAGAAAATGGTGTTAAACAATTTGGGAATGAAAATAAAATAATCTGATGTGTCCATCACATGACTTTTGTGTCTTATCTAAAGTAATTAAAGGATGTTTGCGGTTATTCTGTATTCTGTACAACCTATATCACCCGTGTAATATTTAGAAGATTAAACTAAATAATTTTCCACACACATCTTACATCAAACAATTCTTTTTATGTGTATTCTCTGCCTACGAAAATACTAAAAAATAAAAAATTTACACATTTCCTCAAATGTTTCCATTAGGATCCATTCTAGATAAATCATATATAAAACAAAAATTAGAGAATTATATCGCAAACAACTTTTATTTGAACAATTTTCTTCTCCAATAATTGTAAATAATTGATATATTTGCTAAAGTAAAAAAACGACACTTTATAAAGTACCTCTCCCCAGATACTTCGACTATGCCCAAAATTTGATCAACTTAACTTAAGTTTAAAATTTTGTGTTTTTGAGTTATCTTCAAAATCGAAATTTGCACTTTTTCTCAAATATTTGAAATACGGCCCATTTTACAGAAATTATGTATATAACAAAAATTATAGAGAATTACACTACAAACAACTTTTATTCAAACAATTTTCTTAAAAATTTAAAATTGTTACTTTTTGCTAATTTTCTCGAATACGGACCATTTTAGAAAAAAAAAAATTTCTATATGACAAAAATTATAGAGAATAATATAACTAACAAACTTTATTTGAAAAATTTTTTTCTCCAACCGTAAATGACTGAGATATTTCTTAAAGTAAAAAAGCTCCCCAGAATCTTCTACTGTGCTCAAAATTTGATCAGCTCACCGCAGGATAGATTAAAACTTAAATTTAAAATTTTGTGTTTATCTTTTTATCCGTTTTTAAGTTATCTTAAAAATTCGAAATTTGTGCTTTTTCTTAAATATTTCGAATACGGTCCATTTTAAAGAAATTATGCATAGGACAAAAATTATAGAGAATAATATTACAAGCAACTTTTATTTAAAGAAATTTTTTTTTCCTAGCGTAAATAACAGATATATTCAATAAAGTATGATCAAGTTTAAAATTTGGTGTTTTTGTTATATCTGGTTATTAATTCCTCATATTATTTTTATTTTGGCAAGTGACAGACTATTAGGTATACAATAGCAAAATCGTTTGGCACTTACTGTTTAATAGGCGGCCTAGGTTCCTTAGGACCCCTGGTTACAGGTGAGGGAGGAACCAATGGTGTAGTTGTAGCTGCTGTAGTAGCTGTGCCGCCTCCGCCGCTAATACTACTACTACCGCTATCAGTACCACTGCTAATGGTACTTGCAGGCGTTAAGGATTCGTTTTGACTAAGGGGCACTTCCTCGGAATCATCGGATTCCATTTCACTGTCGTCTCCTTCTGCTTCGTCCTTATCGCTTAATTCAGCATCATCGCAGGGAATTGGTTTAGCAATTTTTTCTTGTTTTATAGTTACGGTTTGTTTTGTTGAAGTGGGAGTGGCAGAAGGAGCTTTTTCTAAAAATAAATAAATAATAAAAAAAAAATACCGAAAACTAAGGAATTAAAATTTAAGGGTTTTTGGTCCAGCCCAAAATAAACAATTATTTGGGATATCGAACTATTATGGATAAGCTAAACAAAACAAAAATGATTTATATAGAATGTGTAATACATTTCATTCATATGTCGAAAAATATCCATTTAAAATATAGAAAATATTAATTTTGTATCACCCTGTATGGAAAAAACGCTGCAATAAAAAAGAAATTAAATTAATCAAAACACAGAACATTCAGAAATGCACAGCGTTCAAAAGAAATATATAATCTAATTATGTCAAAAGATACCGAGTGATAATTTGGATACGACACTATAATAAAAATTACCAAATTTCGTATCACTCAGTATAATATAATCACACCCTTTATTGGAAGAATTCTCAAGGAGAACTAAATTCAAATTTGGAATAACACACGAAGTGTTACATTTAAAATAAGGAAGTTATGGTTAAATTCCGATATAACTGGAAATGATTTGGAATCCCAAATTTTTATTTCAATTAGGCCCAACCAAAAATTTTCATATTTTAATTCTTTATATGAACAATCACACCCTGTATTATTCAATAACATTTCTACAAAACTTATCCACTTACTTTTTTTCCTTGATTTCACCTCTATCTTAATCGGTTTACCGTCCCAAGTATGCGTACCGTCCATTCCTGGGAAACAAATAATGGCAAGGAACCAATGGGCGTTTTCATTTATGGGAACTACAACAAAATCTTTTTCGAAAAGATTCACATTTTTCGTCCATTTTTTAACTCTAGCGTGGCGTTTTTGCGCAGGCGTTAGAGTTGGATCCAACTCGCTTGGCTGAGATTTTCTACAAATAAAAATATTAATATTAATAATAATTATAACACAAAGAAAAAAGAGTGTGTTATCGTACGCACGATAGAAGTGAAACAATCAGAGTGGGATTTAAGTATTAACTTCAAGAGGGGACAAGGTTGTTAATGTGTCGGGACATCGCAATATGTCCTTTATTTAAATTTATTTGAATTTATTTCAATTTTCTTGAATTTACTTGAATTCAAATGAATTTATTTGAATTAAAATGAATTTATTTGAATTCAAATGAATTTATTTGAATTTATTTGAATTCAAATGAATTTATTTAAATGTACTTGAATTCAAATGAATGTATTTGAATTTTCTTGAATTTAATTGAATTTGTTTGAATTTATTTGAATTTATTTGAATTTATTTGAATTTATTTGAATTTATTTGAATTTATTTGAATTTATTTGAATTTACTTGAATTTGTTTGAATATACTTTATTATAATTAAATATATTTTATTTTAATTTATTTGAATTTATCTTAAATCATTGGACTAAAAATATAACCCTGTATAAAAATTTTTTTAACGTCTCACCCAGTTTGCTTTTTGGGTAGAAAAGTTCAACACTTTTATTTTTTAATCCATCGAATGATTAAAATCTATTGGTAAAATTATGTATCTTTTATTAGTGCATTTTCTGTTAAAATGGGACACCCTGTAGTAAAATTGGCACATTTATTTAATAAAGTAAAAAATTAAATTGGAAAAACGACTTTTTTAAATAATCAAACAATTACAAATAAAATTAAAAAGAATTTCAAAATGTAAAATTTTTTAATTCCAAAATAAAAAAAAAACGAGATTATCGAATCACCCTGTACACTTAATCAATCATAATTAAAAAGTATTTTTTTTAATTAAATAAAAAAAATTCAAAATTATAAATGGCAACGTTGTATAAAATTTCTCTACGCCTACGGGATATTTTACCTACGCGCCATCAAATAAATTAATACCTTTTCCCATTAGATAAACAAATGCTACGCCGCTGCCAGTTTTTCAGACCGTCAAACATTCTACTTTAAATCAATCTTCCAATACCGCCCGACACATTCCTTGCTATAAAACCGGTCGTGCAAGTTGCCAAGTGTCGCGAAATTTCCGAGCTCCAGCGACGTTTTTCGATATATCCAGGTCTAACGGACATCGTGCCTACTTTCCAACGGATCAAACGCGCGCAAATCCCATTAGATAAATTGTTTCGGCGGCGTTGCCAAGTTTCTAAAAAGTATAGGTTGCTACTTATTTTTAATTTCAGTTATTATACGACGTTGCCACGCGCTCAATAAAATCTTAAGGTCTACCAAAATTTGAAAAATTTTATTTTTGTATTTATTTCTGGCAATTTTATTACGTTTCGAGTTTTACAATGTAAAATATTGTTAATGATAAATATATATAAATAAAAAAATGGTTTTCTTTTTAATTAAAATTTTGCACTGTTGCCAATTTTTAAAGATTTCCTGTAGCTGTACTGACAGTACTTTTTTGAAAAATTAGGTGAGATAAATTTAAGTAAACACTGTTGCCATATTTACGAATCCTTAAATGTTAAACTGTTAAATTTACAAATTCAATTAAAAAACACGATTTTTCTGAAAACTTTTTTATTCTTTTAAATATATTGACGACATACCTAGAGGCTTTAAGTGGTTTTGTGGTAAGTCTGCGATAGAAGAAAGTCGAGAAGACGTGGATTTTATTTCGTTGTTGAACAGGCAGATTTTCTGTCAAATAGGTAAGGTAAAAGTCTATTATGACATCGTTCAAGAACTGATCCTGTCCTAAGCATATGTAGTCTTCAGTATTGATAGTAATTCTATAACGCCCTTCCGGTGGATAGGTCACTAATTGTTTGATTTCAGTGAAACTCCTGTAAAAAATATAAAAAAGTGTAAAAAAGAACAGATTTTTCTGGTACAAGCAACGGTGAACACCTACTAGACTAAGTTTGAAAAAAAAAAAAACATTCACGGTATTATCCACATGGTTGTACCAAATTATTATGAGAGTTATAAGGATTGTTTATGGTTATAATTCGGCATTGACTTAAGATAAGGCTCTAAAACGCACAATATTACAATAGGTAAGTATATTTGCCTTCTTAATTATGAGTTTAATGCATTTTTCTCGTTACAATTATTATAGTTGTATAGTGTTTTTCAGGAAAGTAAGTAATTAATTTTGATGTGTGACAAAAGTGTAAAGCAAGTGTTGTAGACGTAAATACTGATTCATTTATAAAATTTATGCCCGCTCCTCAAATAAACAAACAAACCATCCCTACTCAAATTAGTAGCCGTCTCGCTCTTTTTAATGTGGCAGCCGATGCGACAGCTCTGTCTGCTAAATAAGGATTGGTCTAGTAGTTTTTTGTCGTCTGGTACAAGAACGCATATAAAAATTATAGTAATCGGCGCATGAGTGACAACATCTATTCCCACGGATTTTTTTTTGTCAGAAACCTTTAAAAATATGTCAAATATCAAGGTTAACGTGGTAGCGAGAATATGTATTTAAAGTTCTCTGTGAAAGGTCATTTTTAAGAGGTAAAGTCTACAGAAAATTTCAAATTTTGGTGTGACTTTACTGAAAATCAAAAAATATTATTAACTAAAAAAATTAATGAGGCATAAATGGAAGTAAACAGTTAAGGAGCGTCCATTAATTACTTGAGGTGTTCAAGGTGGAGAGGGGATCAACCTAAATCTTTCCAAATCTCACTTGGGGGAGAGGGAGGGGGTTTTTATAAATCTGACGTATTGTTTTTCTAGTAGAAACGGTGTAAAATTGCGTTAAATTAAAGTAAAGAATGTTTCTAGAAATTTTATATTACGGAAAATTCTCAAATACTAGTTTTTGCTACTCTTAAATAAAAGTAATAGAACATATTATTGTTTTTTTTTTTTTAATAACCTAACGCATTACACCCAAACACAAATTTTAAAAAATCTCACGTGAGACTAGGGAAGGGGGGAGGGAGTTGAGGAAAATCTTACGAAATCTCACCAGGGGGAGAAGGCAAAAAATACTCAAAAATACCTAACGTAATTAATGGACGCCCCCTAATAACAGTTTTATAGCATCCAAGTACAAAAAAAGGTGTAAAAAAATTATTGATAACAAAACTGGTGTTGATGAAGGCACATTGAACGAGCTAATATGTTGCCAAACAAGAAGATTAATATATAAATATCGGTAGAATCCCACTTAAGTGTTGCCAAGTTTTCAACGCGTTCCTTAATTTGGGGAAATGGCGTATAAAGACAACAACAAAGTCAGAAAATAGTTTAAGATGTAACGGAGAATGTTATGGATGGCTTCATAAAAAGTATACCAAACTTTTTAATGAGGAATATACAGGGTGTTTCATAATATATGCGCAGGACTTCAGGACGTGATAGCTCGTCCAAAATTATGAAAAAACGTTTCTATAAACTTACCCTACCCTTAATTTCTACGCCACTGGAAAAAGTACGGTTTTGAGACGCCCATGTTGAAATACATGGTCTACCTACTTGATGAAACAAAATTTGATTTTTCTCGAAAACGGTCGACTTTAAAGCGTATTACCAAGAGTACCTTTTTTGTGTAAAAAACATTGGCGGTTCAAATGGGCGTCTCAAAACCGTACTTTTTCCAGTGGCGTAGAAATTTTTTTTTTCAATTTCAACACCCTGTATCTCGAAAATGGTGCATTTTAGATGGTAAGTTAATAGAAACGTTTTTTCATATTTTTGGACGAGCTATCACGTCCTGAAGTCCTGCGCATATATTATGAAACACCCTATTATATTTGGAGGTACAAAATCCTGTAGTGATATGTGTTATATGTAATGGGTCTTCATGTTCATCAAAAAATTAAAATAATGCTGAAGAAAGGAAAAATAAAAGTATATAGATGAAGACAAAGCTAATCTTACAAACAAGAAAATTTTGCTATTTCTTACTATGACAGAGAACTAAACGTGTCTATAAATTATTGAAAAGAGATAATGAAGAAAATGAAACTAAAAAAGGAACAAAGGGTTCTAAAAAGAAGAATAGATGATCCTGAGGAGAAGCTAGGTGAACTTAACAATTTGGCTATAAAAGAAGAGCAAAAATGCATTTATATTTGACTGTCAGAAACTCAGCTAGTTAGTAAGATTTTTCAAAAATTAAAAATTAATGTAGATGAGGGCGAATATACTGTACATAATCCCTATCTAGCAAAGAAACATGAAAAGCAATTATGATAAAATTGAAGAAAAACTTCTTAGAACGAAGCTACAAGCTAAAAAAAATAAGAAAATGGATACTATGGAATGTGGAATTAATGGTACATAAAATAATTTTTGATATTTAACAGACATTTTTTTTTAATATTCTATTTAAGTTGCGAATGTTGTTCTTCTCAGGTTACAAACAAACTCTTTATTTCCACAAATACACAGAAAGGTTGAATTAATGACCACTTGACAATAATAAACAGCGTCAAATCAATATTAATTATTATCAGTGTTAACAAGAATGAACAGCAAAAATCAATATATCAATGCACAAAAAGGAACGTTAAAACGATGAACTAAATTCTTAAAATCACGCCCCCTAACTAAGAGGTTTAACACTCATAGTTCAGTTACTGTTTTCTGCAAGGCAGGGAAGTATTATTTCTTGCCACAAGGTGGCATCATTATAGTTTTGTTTCTTACCGTAAGATGGTAGTATAAGTATAATTTAATACGTTTATTTTTTACAAAATTAATATTTTAGATGTGAATTTTTAAATAAAAAAATATGACGTTTTTGACAAATTTTAACGGCTTATGGGGTCTATTCTGCAACGTTTTAGTTAATTTTAATCTCCAAGTTAAAAGGTTATTTATAACTATGACGTTTAAATTTTAACTTAACTCTATTCGATATTCCATCAATTTAGTGTTATTAGCTATTTTATAGCCAATCGCAGTTTAAATAGACATGGCAACGACTAAAAGTGAATTGAAATTATGTCCAACGCAGCTTTAAAAATAAGAAAAAGAATATATTTGACATATAATCATTACTGACATAAGTTATAATTTTAACTAAATTATAAAGAATACAAAATTAACCCAGGGTTAGTTTTAACCAAATTTTTACAGAATAAATCATAAAATTAACTCACATAATATTTGCCACTACGGAGTTAGTTATTAAAAAGAAAATAAAAAAAATGTTAGTTATTTTTATAGATTTATAAGGCTTTAATATTCATCAAAATATTTTATAGGCTTTTTATTTGTGTTTAAAGTAAAGAATTTGAAAAAAGTTGGACCCCTTTAAAAATTACATTTTTTAGGAATCGTTTAAATAATTTCGTTTCAAACACAATGGGACCAGAATGCCCCATGGCAAATTGCATATTATATTATATTTATTTCGCTTATTTTTAAAGGATTCCGACAAAAAAATTGCGTCTGAATAGTTTTTGACCCTCGTGTGCCGATTCCTTCTAAACTAAATAGAAATAGCAAAATAACTAGAAAATTTACGAGATGCCGCTAGAAAAAATCGGACTGATCGTTCTGCAGACAAACGGTGAGGGCGTCAAGGTCAACCATGAATGTGCCACGTGACATCTTTTCCTTTTTTATATCATCGTTCTGCTTAACTGAGCTGAGGCCTTTTTTAAAAATGGACCTTGTACCTGTGCTTCGCTAGAAATGTGTTCATCTGTTCAAGGAGAGCAAAAGTCAATGTAAAATTGCTTGAGAAACTTGGAAAACTCATCACAGAAACATAATGCTTCTGTGAAAGAATGATATAGGTTTTTGAGTGATCAATGAGAAATGACATGATTCATGCTCAGGATCATTTTTCACTTTATAAACAGACTCAAATATTGATCAGAAAACGTCGGTTAAGTATTTGAACTAGTTGTTGTAATCAAAAAAAGAGAGTGCAGATTTTAACAAAACGAAGTCATTGTTTTTACATCAGGACAATGTTGCAGCATATACTGCACTGTCTTTCAAGAGGTTTTTGGCCAACTATTTAGATCCCATTAGAACAAGTTTTTAATGTCTAAGCAGTAAAAATGATTTTTAATGCATAGGCAGTAAAAGTGTTACTTCTATGATCGAGAAATATCACTAAAAGTGAGATTTAATGTCAATCGGAGAAAAATAACTATAATCTGATTCACCGTCTGAATCTGAACCTGATTTCATTTTTTTCTGCTTTTTTTTTTATTTGTCTTTATAAATATTAAAGATGGGACTTTTCATGAAAAGTAAGTTTTGAACTAGTCCGACGGACATGTCCGGAAAAGTAGTGAAAAGTAATGAAAAGTCACGATGAAAAGTAGTTGACCTTGAGCATAGAAAACACGTAGTTAAATCTCCAACCTGGATGTTTTTTCAAAAACACTGTGGGAATAATATTTGCATTTGTATTTTCGTTTTTTTTTAGGCAAATAATGTGTAAAATACTTCCAACCTTTGAATTTTTTGGTAATTTTTTCACGAGTTTATTTTAGTAAGATGCGAAACGAAAATGATTCGAAAACATCGTTAAAACATTATAAAAGTCAGTAAACATTTGTCTTTTCTTCTTTTTTAAACTAAATGTTGTCTTTGTAAGAAACTCAGACGAATTAGTTAATTAATTTCGCGCAAGGGTAATACACTTTTCCACTTTTGAAAATTGTGTTTGGACTAGTCAACTTTTCAGATTAATCCGTCGCACTTATCTGTGGACTTTTTAAACCGACCCACCACTAATGAATATTATTCATTTTTGAGAAACTAGGCAGTAGGCAGCTTTTTGGAAATTCAGCCTCTTGCTATACAATTCGTGGCGCGTTCAGATATTCTCTTTAAGAAGTCTCTCGGAACAATAATAATTATTATTGTGACGTTATTTCTTTCTATTTGTTGTATAAATAGATATGCTTCTATGAATAGCGAATGAAAATAGAATTTTTAATGAAAAACGCCGCCGCACTCTCATAAAAACAAAAAGTCGTCATTTTGGCGACTTGTCGCCATAACTGGCAACACTGTAGTAGTCACTCCGTTCTTCCCTCTCCCCACGCCACATCTCGCCAGCACAAACACCGGTAGATTTGGCGTTGTTGCCACGTCTTCACTAAAGTCTTGGTTCTGGGCACTTCAAGTGTAGGAATCGTGGAGTGGGAATTATACATATTGAAGTGGAAAGAAGTTATATTGAAGTAGACGGGGAAAATGTAAAAATTGTGAAAGAAGAGTAATAGAAGATTTTATAGCACTAATTCGTTTTTTTTCTAGCCACACATCATACATTTTTATTGCATTACGTTTATTTTTGACAAAATCGAAAATTTTCATTAAGAAAAGTTGATTAGAAACACCGATCTATCTGAAAAAACAGATTTTCTTATTTTTTATAAACTCTACACTCTACACATTGATTGTAAATATCTGAAAACGTTATAAATTACGTTAGCTACTATAAACATGCTACGCTTTCCTTTTGTTGATGTTTGTGAAGAATTTAGCAAATTTCTTAATGAAAATTTTCGATTTTGTAAAAAAATAAACGTACTTTACTCTTGAGCAAAATTCATATTTTTTGACAAACCTCGTATACGGCTTGAAAAATTTGATATCTGATGACTGTATTTTAAGTTTTGGGTCATGCAAGACTTTTTATCAAGAATAACTTTTTTTCCTAAAATCAATAATAAAAATGTTTTCTATATGGTTCCAACTTAAGTAGACACACTGTATAAAGTGACCCACACAAATATGTTTCTAAATTAGGCATTGGAAAAAATCACGCATGTCGGAGTGTACAATTTTTTTTGTCAGTTCGTTTAATTCAGAGCCATATGTAGTTATCTAGGACATTGCCGTATTAGAAGGAAATGTAGAAGACAAAACTTAAAATTATCAGCCATTCTTTACATTTTTATATATATTTTTTTTATATTTCAACTTATACATTGCAGTTGATAAGAAATGAAATTGTGTTTTAAACTAGTAAAAATGAAGACAAGGATTTTTTTAAGCTCGGGACTCGGAAACAGGTGTTTATTAAAAAATATATATAAGCTGATGACCTTTTGTTTGAAGTCAAAAATAATTAGTCAGTTTTTTAAGTAACCCTACCTTTATTCACTGTTCAACCTTACCTTATATGGAAAGTGTACAAACATCCCTTCTTTCCCCTTACACTACGCCTATGACAACAATTCGATCGCGACAAACTTTTAATATAAGAAGTAGATCATATATGCAGAAAAGTTGGCTAGCCCTGTTCTTTTGTATTGTTTTTTTTATGTAAATTTTTTTAATGCTTTTGAATTGATAGTTTTATTGTGTTGTATTTAAAATGTTTAATTTCTATTTAAATAATACTTGCATTTTAGCAATTGTAAATGTTTTTTACGCTTTGTAATTTATATTTTATATGTATCTATAATACTCTGCTTACCCAAATCCAAGTGTATTTCTCGCCAACTCCTTAGGACACGTTTTAATCAAAATGTCATTGGCCTCTTTGATATTCAACTCGTCGAGTATGTTGATAGGATAACCATAAATCAACTGGATCATATTCTTATTCTCTTCGGTGATATCGTCCGGTAACAAGGTTATGCGTCTTTGCGCTTCATCCTCCAATGACAGAGGATCGAAATAAAAATCGCTGTCAGATAACATGTCGAGCTCCTCTCTGACCTTTTTGGCTAATCCAGAGTCGAGGTAGTAGAAGACAACCGGTAGCGAGCTGTTAAAACTCGCTAAGACCTTTACAATGTCCGCTCTTTCTATGGTTATTTTTTTTATGCCTTTTTCTTTGCTGGGATGGGGTACGTGCATAACCACTTTTGTTGTTTCTATGAAAACCTGTAATATACAAAGCATTAGCGGTCTATCTTAAAAGATTTCATCGAGAGTAGTGAAATTTAGAATATTTTCTCACCTCTTCAGTGGGGACGCATCTGTATGATCCAATTCTAATAGTTCTACATTTCAGTTTTGTTTTGACGATATCCTTTTCGGCAAATACTTTAGGAGTAACTAAAACAAAAATCACAAATCTTACTTTAATATATAAATGCGAAATTTTGGATGGATGTTTGTTGCTCAATCAAGTTGGAATGGCTGAACGAAACTGGCTGAAATTTGGCACAGAGGTAGATTATTATAATCTGGAAGAGCACATAGGCCACTTTTTATCCCGGAAAATGACCGGTTCCAGTGGGATAAATTTGTTTTTGTTTCTCAAAAAGCAAGGGTTGACATACTGGTGTAGCGAAACATGAAAATTTGAAATACAGCTATTGAGCATAAAATAAATAATGACATGTCTCAGGGATTTTGGATTTTCACATTGGTAGGGGGAGGGAGGGGGGACGTGGGGTGAAAGTTTGTATGGGAGTATCGATTTTTTTTTAAAGGTAGGAACTTGAAAAATGTAATTATAGCTACTCATAACAGATAAATAATGTTGCAGGGTTTTTTGTTTTTCATATTTTAAACGGGAAAAGGGGAAAATAGGGAGAAAATGTGGAAAAGGGGGGAAAGAGGGGGAAAAGGCGAAAGTTTTTATGCGAGCATAAATGTGACGACCTACACTAAGCATCATCTGCATTTTCTTAAAGCGAAACAACATAAAATAAAAATACTTACTATTGTTTTTCGAAGAATTATGCCTTTGTATGTCAATCGTTGATGGTTCCTTAGAAACGGGACTGATAGTCACAGAGGATCCAAGTTTTTGCAAAAGACTGTCATTCTGTAAAGCAAATGAAAAAATATTACCGTTGGTAACACAACATTGATTAAATGGCAAAAAGTTAGAATGCATTTATTTTGAAAAAAACGCATTTTTGTTTTAAATCAAGTTGTGATTATTTGTTATTTGTTGTGACAGAAACAAACAAACACATTTCAGAAACAGGATTTTGATAATTTGGATTTCAAAGCGATCTCAGATTGGACTTTTCTCTAATTAAATACAATGCAGTTAATCATTAGTTTATGAGAAAGCAATAGATTTCAATTGAAAAAATGACCAACCCTGTATTATTCAATGGTTGTTACAAATGAATATGAAATTAATATTAGCAGCTATATAAGACTGCTCTAATTATCAGTGGTAGCTAATTGCATGATAGTTGAATATTACTATTTATTTATATTACTATATAGGGTGATTCAATTATATATTGCACGAAAATTTAAGGTGAGATTTTTTGGGTTAAAAATTAAAAAATGTCTATAAATATAAACCCAAAAACGCTTCTTTTCTAAACACAGGGTGTTTCTTTAAGATATTTTTTATTGTTACAACACCGCTTTGTACAATTTCAATGACATTTTTATATTTTGTTGATATTTTGGACCTATTATAGTAATTTAAAATCACTTAAAAACCAAATGCAATATTTTACCATTTTAAAGATATCAAACAAATAAAGTAATAAATAATTGACTTACAACTTTCGGTTTTTCTTCCTCTTCTTCATCGGAACTAATAACGTGTACACTTTCTTGTTCAGATACTTTAGATCTTGAGGATTTCTTCTTTTGAGGAGAGGGAGCATTAGGTATTTTTACAGGTGTCGGGGTGCTAGTGGCTGAAAAACACAGTTTAAAGCTATTTATTGTATTTCTGAACAAATTTACTCGAATATAGGGTAAGGAAATTTTTAAAATAAAAATTGTATGGCTTAGGGGCTAAGAGCATATAACTTGTAACCACAGAATGGCGATTCTGTAGGCATTAATTAATTAAAAAAATGTTTGCCTCATATAATCATTGTCATTTGTTAAAATATTAATTATTATTAAACCAAACGGTTTTTAACAGGCCTGAAGATGGCTCTACAAGCCGAAACTAGACGCATGCTACCAACGCACGCAGTTTTTGTTAAGATTATTAACCACAGATTCTGGGGGTCGAAAATAAATCGATTTAAGCTAACTTTACATAAACAATGGATAGCAAGAAACTTACAGGGTGTTAAAGTAGGAATTTAACCTAAAGAATTGATTTCAAAAACGATATTAAAAATATTTTCAAAATTTTAGTAAAAAGTAGATTATTCACACGCATTATACTGGAATCAGAAGAAATTATTAAAAAAAATATATAGAAAACAAAAATAAGTCTTTAAAAGATATTCAACAAACAAAAAGTTTTTCTAACCTAAAAATCTAAAAAGGAAAAATCATGCCTCTTTAACTTAAATAAAACTTAAACTTCAAGAGATTGAATCTAACCTGGATAAGCGTATGAAAAAAATACCAAAATGTGAAGACATAAAAACCCTACTAAATCAGTTTAATCACGACTTAAAAGCACTGGGTTCAGAAATAAACAACATCAAAGCAACATACGCTGAAATCACTTCTAAACAACAACTTGTTAAAGAGGTGTAAAAGAAACAAAAAGGGTGAATACATTGAAAATCTAGGAAGCAATAATGTGGAAGAAGGAACACAAAGTGAAGTATTTTTTAGAGAAATGCATGACAGACCACAAAGATCCCAAAATGTCTTATTGTTTGGTGTTCCAGAAACCAGAAACCAAAATATAGACCAGCGTAACATAGAAGAAAAAGACAAAGTAACAAAAGCCATCCAAGAATGAAATATTCTCCAAAGAGATAAAATTCTACCGGTTAGGAAAATGTGACCAAAATAAAGTCAGACCAATTAAAATAATTAAAGTTAAAAACAATAGTTTTAAGGGTGCGTGTATTGTGTTTTTCTGTATTGCTGACAATTATCTGTGTACTATGGAAGTGGTCTTCAATTTAATTAACATAAAGAAATTTTTTAAATATACATACGAAGAGAAGATGGAATTAAAAGCAAATGGTAGGCCATTACCAGATATAATTATAAAATAAAACTGGTGTAAGTAGAGGAAAAAGTTACACACGAAAATTTAGAGATATTTATTCAAAAAACGAATGGATCTGTGGATGCAACAAAAAATGCGCTGTACTGTTTTCCCTGTTTACTTTTTGGTGGCGATAAAGCTTGGACGGAAATAGGGGTCACTAATCTAAAACACTTAAGTTTAAAGATTAAAAAACGCGAAAACTTTAAAAGCCTTCTTCATAATTGCATGGAATTTGCGTTGCTAGGGACAACTAACATTATGGCTCAATTAGATTTTGCTTATTGGTTAAATATACAGAGACATACTGAAAATGTGTCAAAGAATAGGTATATTTCATCCAAAATTATTAATTGCATTAAGTTTTGTGGAGCTTTTGATCTGGCTCTTAGGGGACATGATGAGAGCGATTCTTCCGAGAATCCAGGGATATTTCGTGGACTCAAATTTCTTCGCTAAATTAGACTAAGTGACCACCTAAAAATTCTTCGGTATTTAAAGACACCTCTAATCTGTTACAGTGTATGCTCGATGTCTGTCATGAAAAAATAATTGAAGAAATTAATAATTCTGCATTTTTGGCGATTATGGCGGACGAAACAACGGATGTTGCTGCAAAAACTCAACTGGTAGTTATATTTAGATATGTTCGCAATGGTGAGCTAATTGAACTTTTTTGGAACTATGTACTTAATTTCTGAAAAATGTGATGCAGAAACAGCAAAACAATTTTAACTGTTATAGATCCTTTAATTCAAAATTCACCGAACAAATTGATTGCACAAAGTTGTGATGGAGCCGCGGTGATGAGCGGCCAACACGCAAGAGTTCAAGCATTAATTAATACAAAGTTAAAGTTAAATTTAATTTCTAAAGCGGCTTCTGCAAATTCGCAAGTACGTGTATTTTTTAGAAATTTACAAGACATTCCGAGCTTTTTTAATAATTCACCCCAGCGAGTAGAAGTCTTAAACACGGCGCTACAACCCGTTGGAATTTTAATATAAGAACCATTAATGTTGTGTACGAAAATAGAGCATCTCTCATTGAGTGTATGCATGAAATAGAAGAACAATTCACCAACAACACAGTCTGTAGTGCAGCCGTACATTAAATGATCCGATCTTCAATTTTTTCATCATGTGACGCCCCACGTAGACATCCTATTCAATCAACTACAGCAAAGAAAAATTGAACCCACTCTAGTAAAAGACGCTATCGATAATTTTGAACGCAGTATCGCTCAAGTTCGAAATAATATTGATATCATTACTGAAGCGTCAGATATAATAAGCGATCAGCCATCATAAAATAAATGCAAGCGTCCAGGTCCCAGCAGATTTGATCGCCCAATTTCTGCTTTAGATGTGTGTGACGTTATCCTAAATTGTGCAAAAGATCGATTTGATTTTAAAGAGCATCTAGTAGTTGCTTCATTATTTTTCGGAATGCTTTGGAAAGTATTGTGGTAAATTTTCCGAGGATAAACTCACTTCCGCATGCTATTTTTATCTCACCCTTGACAAAGAACGATTGCGAACTGAACTGTCTGTTATTTATTCAAGAAATGATTGCAGTACATTGAGTGGCGCACTACCTCTAATATTTTTAATATCAAACAAACTAGGAGATACGCTAAAGGAGACTAGAAAATTATTAGAAATTGTGGAACAACTCGTATGACAACATCAGAGGCCGAACGATGTTTCTCAATACTAAATCGAATCAAAACGTTTCTCAAAAATTCAATGGTCGAAGATCGTTTAACAGCTCTTTCCATGCTATGTGGCGAGAAAAAGTTTACTTCCGAAATAGACAATTTTAATGGAAAAGTAAAATTTGCGAACCGAAAAGAACGTAGGATAGACTTAATTTATAAAAAATAGACTGTAAAATCGCACTATCTGTATATAATTTTTTAAACATTTTGTATTTTGCTTGAAGAAAATAAAGTACAGTAAAATAGTGCTTGGCGATTCTTTTTTTTTTGTGTGGCAATCGTTCCAGCAATCCATCATTCAGCAAGCACGATAAAATCGATGGGACATTGACTAAGAAGACAACCCCCCTGAAAGATAAGGATTTTTGCAAAAACACCCTAACATTTTTATCACGAGCCGCCACTGTTACTAACTAAAAGAGCAGCTTCATCGACTATGTTTTTAACAATAATAATAATAAATTTTAAAAGTGATTTTTTGCTCTTATTCTAAATTGGTTAGACATATTTTTATGTACATGGGATGTAAGTTAAGTAAATTCAGTTAAAACCAGGGTTCCGCCATTGAAATTTTAGATCTGTTTTAACATTTTTTTACCCCTTAGTATTTGTTTGTGAAAGCCTTATTTACTGAATTGTTGTAGTCCCCTAAAAGAAGGCCATAGTGAGAAATGCAATGCAATTTTTTTATTTAATATTTATTCATGATTTTTTTTACTATTATACAACTTCATAGATGATGATCAATATTAGAAGGGAATAATTGTAAATGAAGTTATCAAAAAAACGTGAAACAAATATTCAGTGGCATATTTTTCACTATAAACTTTCTTCAGAGGCCTATAACTCCGTAATTAAGGCTTTCTCTTTTCTAAAAACCTATAGAATTAAAACAATTTTGAACGCCACTGACTCCATTTTATTGATCACTGTATACTAACATCTCATGCATATTTTCATAAAAATATGTCAAGCCGTTTTATAGTAACACAAAATCGCTTCTAAAATTTCTACTTTAGTTTTTTACAAATCCCAGAAACTGTGGTTAAATTTAGTGTACATCTTTTGTTACACCCTGTATATTAATAACTTTTTCTTCAGTTTTCATACAAGCATAATTAATTTTTCATTTAATAACTTTCATTTGTTAATTCTGCAGCATTCTTAAAGTTTTACCTGTATACAATCGAATACATTTTAGGCGACCTTGAATAAAACCGCATAAATCAAAAAATCCAAATAGATTAATAGGTTATGTAGTAACCTTAAAATTAGAATAGCAATACATAATATTCAAATTAAATACTTTTCAATTCGCAACAAATAATAAACAGCAAAAGTAATAAATTACCTGGTTTAGTTGAGAGCAAATGTATTTTAATTATTTTGGAACATTTTATAGATGATTCATTTTTAACCAACATTTAATAGTGTACACATCATCATCAAATTATAGGTTATAGGTGGATAATTAACATTTAAACAGTGATATGAGTAAATGTTTTATTTGAAATTTCCCGCCTAAATAAAAATTAATTGGAAAAACTATAACTGAAGAGTAATTATTCTTTCTCAGAATTAGTAATAATAGCCAAAAATAGTAAAAAAAATCCGTTATTCTCAAAATAAACGTACTGGATATAGAAAATTTTGAATTTTTATATTTAAATTATAAAAATTTGTTCGCTACTTCAAGATTACTTAAATTAGTTTACTCAATATTTTTATGAAGATAACATGTAGATTATACACCTGATTAAATTGTTCACATTATCTGAGGTTTATTTTTCTTTTAAAATCTAGAACTTCATGTTTTGTTATACAGGGAGGTCCTTAAGTAATTGTACATAGAAGTATGGTAGATTCCTTACTTTAAAATATTACGATTTAAACCAACTTGCTTTAATAAAATGTTGCTAATAAGGAATATACGGGGTGTTAAAGGTTAAATTACAAGATTTCTTTTTTGCAATAACTTTAACGTTTTTGGATATGTATACATAAAAATT